TCGTAAGGAAAGACAAAGCCATACAGGTATATACAATATGCAATTAGTCAATATGGATGTTTTTATAGTATCATAATTTCAGAGTAATAATTCACAAAGGCTCTTACAGGATCAGCTGTTGTTAGGGGTCTATAATCCAAGCTTCCTCTGAAGTCTCTGATCATACACATAATTTCATAATTTGGATTTGTAGCATCAACATCCTATATGAAAACAAGATTTGGCACTTATTATACTTATAATTACACTGTATGTGTTGCATATAGTTTGAAGATTGAAGTTCAGATACTGTCATTTGTTAACCAAACCCAAACTAAAACTAAAACTATGACGTGATTTTCAAGTTCAGGTTAGTATGTTCAGAATCACTTTCACATAAATAACACAATTCTGCTGATCTCCATGTCCTGTGCACTCCAAAGTTTCCTCATTAAAACTACCCTTTAACTACTTAGAAAATCACCTATAATACATTTACTTAAGTCAGAAATGTAGCAAGGGGAACAGCACTCTAGAACACTGGCAAGGAACTCTCGGAAGGTTGAAACTGGGAAAATGCATTCCACACCCCAATTCCCAGAACTACTTCATCTAATGTTTCAATACTAAATATCATCAACTTTGCACAAGTCACCAAGAGGGAGCTGTTCCTGCAGTCATACCCACAATGAGGCTCCTTCTTTACCTACCCTGTCCATCACTGCTGCTCTTCCCAAAGCACTACTATTTATTTTTTCTCTGTCTATGCCAGTTCTAGTCTCTAAACATTAAAGAATGCTTTGAAAAGTTTGGTCTGCAGGTGTAAGCATGCTGTTTAGTTACATACACATACCCTATTTTTAAATATAAATACAGTCTTGAAAATAAATATAAATTCATCTACATTCATTTCCCCTCTCTTTGTTAACTCTAAGATAACCAAGATGTTAAAACAAAACAAAACAAAAAACAAAATAAAAATAAAACACAAATAAAGATAATTTGTTTGCTTGTTTTTTAGTCAGGTTTTCATGTGGTCCAAGCTGACCTTGAACTCTTATCCTCCTGCCTCTAACTCCCAGGTGCTGAGAAGTATACAAGCAGCTCAAATTCAAGGTACTGAATTCTGACTGTAATTTATTTCAAATTCTATACTAACAAGGTTTTATTTAAATTATGACTAGCAATGGTCAATAACCTCCCTACAATAAATAATAAATCTCTAATACTCAAGTCAGATTTTTTCATTCATATTCAGACTACACTGAAGAGAGATTTTAAAACTGTCACTGAAATTTCTCTTCTACTCATCTTTAAAAAAGATCCCCAACTTGTCAGCTAGGCAGCAAAATGCGAAGCAAGCCTCTAGAGCTCACTGGGACATCTGAGCATTATGAAGTACCCCCGGAGGACACCAGGTGGCATGGCTACCAAGCCTGAGTAACTGTAGTCTGTGTATTCTTTCTTTTTCCCCGGAGTCGGGGTCTCAAGTAGTCCAAACTGGTTTCAAACTTGCTATGTAGCTGGAAATTCCTTCAACTTATTTTAAAATCAACTATTTTCACTGATATAATCTACCCTTTTCTCAGGAAAAAAAAATTGAGTTTATGTTACAAACCTGGGCTCTCTTTTCTCTAAGTTCTTGCTGTTGCAATCTCCTTTTTTCTCGTTTTTCTTGCAATTTTTCTACTTCTTTAACACAATTCGATTTCCTACGTGCTAAAAGGGAAAGGATGAGCTGCAGAAGCACAGTTTCCTTTTTAACAGAATGACACTGAACATACAGGAATTGTATATGACTAATTCAGCGCACACATACACAAGTGCACAGTAATGAAGCATGCTGATTATTATACCTAGGTGAACTTGACTTATGAGCTGCTTTAACAACAGTAGGAACAGGACATAATACAGATGAGTCAAGCGAAATGACTCGGACACACTGATACATGTCATCTCTTGGTTTAGAATCACAGGTCTTTGAATTGAAAGGATCAACAGGTGTAACTTTTTTCCAGAACATTAAAAAAAAAAATCTAGCCAAAATTAAAACAACTGAACCATTGTTTGTAACCTCACACAAAATGTTATTCTCCAATATATATACACACACCCCCAGTTAACAGCCTAAAGTACTAAATACAAATTAAAATTTGTTGGCAAAATGAAATCTCTAGTCAAGTTTGTCTTAGATTGTTTACTACTTAGGAACTTGTAATGATGACCAAGAGAGACTACATGTATGCCTAAAATGACTGAATCCTTGATACGTTATTTACATACAAGGAGGTCCAAATTCCTTTTTTGCAGCTTGAACTGGAGATATATCTGAAACACTACCATTCTGTTGTGCAGAAGACGACTGTTCCGGAAGCTGACTAGGCCGTGCGCGTGCTGAACCAACCACTACAAAACAAGTTTAATTCAAAACAGTATTAAAAGCTAGCCATGGTAAAAGAGAAAGACATACCAATGTCAAATGTTACACATAAATATTGAACTCATTCCAGGCACAATGGCTCTTACCTATAATCTCAATACTTGGTAGGCTGAGGCAGGATGATCAACACATGTTTGAGGCAAGCCCAGGTAACAATGAGACCCTACTCAAAAAAGTCAATAAATGCCGAGCAGTGTTGGCACATGCCTTTAATTCCAGCACTCAGGAGGCAAAGGCACGTGAATCTCTGTGAGTTCGAGGCCAGCCTGGTCTACAGAGTTAGTTTCAGGACAGCAAGGCTGTTTCACAGAGAAACCCCGTCTTCAAAACAAAACAAAAAAATCTATAAGTAATTTACATTTAGAAAACTGTCAAACTTTTCTATAAATGGTGTATAAGCTACTAAAAGTGATCAATTCTATTCAGTAAATTGACACGACTAAAAGGCAATTCAAAGTAATAGTTGCATCAGGAAAGAGGCAGGCAGGCAGATCTGAGTCTGAGGCCTGTATGGATTTTACCACAAGTTACAAATAATGGGGAAATTGAGTCTTAAAACACAAACAAAAATGTACAGATTTAACTTCCACCAGTGTGATTTTAGATACTAAACTAGTCACCTAAAAATCATAGCTAAATTGACTTTTAATAATCATTTATTTTTAAAAGATGCACATGAAACCCATGTCTTACAATTCCAGAATGCAAAGACATTTCCCAGATTATATGTGCAATATAAAAGCATTCTTGTTTTTTTTTTTTTTTTAAATAGACATGATTCAGAGACATACAAAACAAATGGAAAAGTCCTTCCAACCTTCCTTACGGTTCAGATTCCATTCTTTGCTCCCCAACATGCAAATCTTCAATAGAGTATTCCCTATTGTAGATGTCATAAAAATGCAAAAAGGAACTAAAGCACACAAACAGAAAGCTGGGTGTGGTGGTGCATGTGTGATGCCAGCACTGGAGAGAGTCTAGACATCAGGAGCTCAAGATCATTCTCAGCTATCTATCATATCACATTAAAGCAAACCTGGGCTCCAGAGACCGTCTCAAACATGCACGCACCCATGCACAAAGGCTCAGAAAATTCCCCAGGCGGTCTAAGTTCTCCAGAGACTGAACGGTGGTAATGAGAGGACTTTGTTCTCTCTCCTTCTAATCTCTTCTCTGGCCCATCTTGTACCACATCCACTTACACAGAGACATACAACTGTACAGCAGTTCTCAATGCTGAGCAGTAAAAGAGAAACTAGTTTTGTCCAGTGTCCTGGCTCAGAATGTATGAAACTTGAAGCCAACTATAATTTATGCCCATTCAAATTTCCTTTTGCCAACTCCAAAGTTAACCGTTAAAGTTTCTGGAAGCCTCTTAGTCAGAATATTATGACCAAACCAGGGATAATGGGGCTGGAGAGATGGCTCAGTGGTTAAGAGCATTGGCTGCTCTTCCAGAGGACCTGGGTTCAATTCCCAGCAGCCACAGGGCAGCTCACAACTGCCTGTAACTCCTATTTCAGGGAATCTGACACCCTCACAGACATACATGCAGACAAAAAAGTTAACGTGCACAAAGTAAAAGTGAGTAATTTTAAAGTGATAACGAATTCATCCTTGTGGCATCGCCAGCCATCTGACTCCTGTCCTGTGTCTCCTCTCTCTAATGTCCTCAGTTTTGAAAATCAAGTGAGATGAATAAAAACTACATGCTTTGTTGAGTTTCCATTCACCACACACATTTTGAACTTTTTTTTGCTTTATTTTACTGAGTCTTGCTTTGGAGCCTGTTGGCCTAGAATTCCCTACATAGATTAGATTGGCTTCCACTTGGACGGATCTTCCTGCCTCCCGAGTGCTCAAGTTACAGGCATGCCTCACCATGACTAGCTCATATTTTTTAAACTAAAGAGAAATTATTAATGCTATTGGGGTACTAGGAAGTCAGGAATACTAATCTTAAAATCAGCCACGGTTTAAACAGATAACACCAACGGTAATATTTACTTTTGATATACCTCATCAAGGCCATGCTAAATGTCAGTAGGCAAGATTAAGGGATAACGTTTTACTTCACCTCTATTATCTCTTGGGGGAGGGTCATTCTTAATAGATGCCACAGTCCGTCGGTTCTACAAAAGAAAATAATATTCATTGTGTTTTTTTCTCTCCATTCCTCACATCTATCATTCCCTCAGCTTCTTTTAATTAAACGAAAGCAAACAATAGTAACATAAAACCAAATGGAGAAAAACTATAAATAATCAAAAAATGACTAATTTATCAATAGTCAAGTTCCTGTAGGAGGTGTATTTCCAAATCTCCCATAGACTCAGGAATGAGAAAGATACTGCTTTAAGGATCTTATTCATTTCAGTTTTACACAAAACTCTAGGAAGCCATTATTTTCTTAATTCTGAGCTCAGGTCAAGTGTAGAAATCTTCACATTTTCAAAGTTCAGTAGTACAATTTTTTCATCATTACTCAGAAATGAACACATCAACACACACACACAACACAGAGGGCAGGGAGACAGAGTAAGGAGGGGTGGGGGAAGGGAGAAAATTCTGTAGTTTTGCTTCTCCCAACTATGGCAATCATACATCAAAGCATACTGGAAGGTCCTTTGATACTCAGTTTTCATCACTGATCTACTACAATCAGAGCAGATCTCTGAAAGCTTTTTACTGGTATTGCTATTTCAGATGAGACTGGAAGCAAAGCGAGGCTAAGTAACTACACTATAATGCTATCTTGCCAAAACTGTGTGCAGGGTAAGTATCTATTATCTGAAAAGCCTGAGTCCAGAAATGTTTCATATTTTTTCATGTCTTGGAATATTTGTATATGTGCACTCATGTGTAAAATCAGATGTTTTGGGAACAGGACTCAATTTTAAATGCAAATTCACTTTTATATATACGTTATATATACACATAGCCTGAAGACTGTGTGTGTGTGTGTGTGTGTGTGTGTGTAAGTAAAAGCCAGTGGAGGACATCTGGTACCTGCTGTCATGTTCCTCCTTATTCCCTTGAGACAGGGTTACTCACTGAAACTGGAACTGGGCTGACAACCAGCAAAGCCCCAACCATCCTTCAGTCTCTACCCTCAACAGAGCTGTGGTTACAGTTGTGTAGAGCACCAGTCACACCTGCTTTTAGTTACATGTATGCTAGTGAGGTAGACTTGAATCTTCATGACTTTGGTTCAAGTGCTCTTACCCAACGACCTCAAATCTCTGTGAAGATAATTTTGGTGTTGCTTCATTCTGACTGAATTCATCACATAAGGTTTCACGTGGAATTTCTCTCCTGCGGTCTGATGTTTGTTCTCAAAAAAATTTGCATTTGGGGGACGGCAAGATGGCTCAGAGGATAAAGTCACTTGCTTCACAAGTCTAACCTGAGTTGATCCTAGACTCCTCCCGGGCTCCCCACCACACACACAAAATAGCCAGACGTGGTTGTGTGCTCCTATAATCCCAACACTCCTGCAGCAAGACAGGAGCCTGGAGTACATAGTACAGCAGAAACAAAAGACCTCAGTTCAACAAGGTGGGGTGCTGTGGAATGTTCTGTATGGCAAATGTGTTGCTAATTAGTTAATAAATAAAACACTGATTGGCCATTAGCTAGGCAGGAAGTGTAGGCGGGACAAGGAGGAGAATAAAGCTGGGAAGTGGAAGGCTGAGTCAGAGAGACACTGCCAGCCGCCACGATGACAAACAGCATGTGAAGATGCCGGTAAGCCACGAGCCATGTGGCAAGGTATAGATTAATGGAGATGGATTAATTTAAGCTGTAAGAACAGTTAGCAAGAAGCCTGCCACGGCCATACAGTTTGTAACCAATATAAGTCTCTGTGTTTACTTGGTCGGGTCTGAGCGACTGTGGAACTGGCAGGTGATAGAGATTTGTCCTGACTGTGGGCCAGGCAGGAAAACTCTAGCTACAGTGGGGGGCGAGAACCAACTCCTGAAAGCTGTCCTCTGATCTCCAGCTGAATGGCATGGCATGCACACACCTACACTAACACACAAACCAAGAAAAAAAATATTAATAAAAATGTTAAAACCTGGGATTTGGAGCACTTTTCATCTTGGATTGAGGAATTAGTAGTAAATTACATCTTTTGATCTAAGGAGGTTAATACAGTATTGACTCCTTTATTAAACTGAAATATCAAAGTAGTATGAAACAAACATGGCCAGTTATCCTAAAAAGGTTTCATTACAGGTTTCAAAGGCTTGGCTACTGCACAGATTAAGGCAACCAACTTCTGTTCCTATTTATATAGCTACTAAGAGTGAATTATTTAAAAACAAACCCACAGCAAATAATTTAGTTATACTCAATCCTGAATGCACATTCCAATCAGATTAGGTACTATTTGGACAGTAGTTTTATTTCCCAGAGTGAGGCCCAGAGATCAGTATTTTAAAAAATGGAAAGTAATAGTTAACAACAACACATCAAGGCTGAGATGTGTGGAGCTTGTTGGTAGGATGCCAAGGCAAAGGAGAAAAACTGGGCTTGATTTCAACATGGGAATGGGAGAGGTAGATAAAACTATGCCAATCTACTAAGGCTTTGAAGATGTATATGGAAATAGTCTGTGTATATTACGGACCTTTAAGCAGTGACTCTCACAATGCTTAAGTTATATGAACTGAAATTGATTTATGTTCATATACGTAGTTTAAAAGCAAAATATTTTGAGGATGGTTAAGTCTCTGTAACACATGTGCACGTTAATGTTTGTTTTTCTTGAAACATATGGAGTTCCTATAGGCCTGCAAGTCATGTCATATTCATCTGTATATCAATACAATATCTGCACAAGGAAGAAAAACCAACAGACGTCATGGAATCAAACATAAGAGGTACAGGTTCAACAACATAGCAGAGCTGTCTGGTTTTCAAGGGGTTGTACTGTTATGGAATTTGTCCATAGTAAAGAGTTTCAAGAGAACGGAAGAAGAGCTACCTTTAAAAAGATAAAGGCTTTTCACTTTTGCAGAGCTATAGTTACAGGGAGGATGCAATACTGCCCTGAAGCATCCCCTCACCAACAACATGGCTAGTTACACTACCCCACCACTTCTTGTCTCTTTCTAAGGTTACCAGAGTATTTATTATTCTTAACAAACAGGTATTCTGTCAGTCAGTAACACTGACAGGAAAACAATTTTAACTCCTCTCTCCTGAGTAGCTATCAGTCCTCAGAAAAATCCTAATTAGGCAAGGGATGATGATATGATCTAAAGACTGTCACGAATTGTGAACTCGACAACCCGGCCTCAGGAAGACACGTATCTACATGCACGGATACAGATGGTATAAAGAATTTTTTAAAAAAGTAAACCATTTAATACTTAACACATACATATTCTTCAGATTCTACCAGTCTCAAGTCAGCTTGAGCACGTGTGCACGCACATGCACACACATCCTCCCTAAATTTATCACTTACCTTTACAATTTTGTTCACTTTTGAGGATGATGAAGGTGGAGGTATTTCTGGACTGGGCTCAATCTCTTCATCGGGTACAAGGTCAGGGTTAAGCGAAAAGATGCTTTCCAAGTCAATCTGTTTAAACAAAAACATGGAAGGTTATATAGAGAGCAAATGACTCTTAAATGACTTCAACCTAAAGTATGACACCATTTTGCAAACTACATTGCTTAGAACAATAATCCACATATATTTTCCACTTGGTTTTAAGAACTGCTGGTAAAAAAAGTGACCATCAAAACTACATAATGGTTACTTATATATAGCAATTTTCAAATCTTGTGCACTGAGCTAATGAACAGCTGATATATGGAGAGACTCTCCTTCTTTGGGTTAACTTTTAAAACTCCCTGGAAAGTGATTTTTTCCCTTTATGTAAAGGGGATTTATCGGCATGAATATCTGTGTACCATATGCATGTTTGGTGCCCCTGGACACCAGAAAAGTGTTGGATCCTCCAGGACTATTAGAGATGGCTGTGAACAATCATGTTGGGGGCTGGAAATTGAACCAGGGTGCTCTGGAAGAGCAGTCATTCATCTTAATCACTGAATCATCTTTCCAGCCCCTATTTGAAAGTGCTTAAAAGAATGATACAGAATATCTACATCATATAAAATTACAGAATTTTGATGTTTAACCCAGAAACCATACCTCTTTGCCTTTTGTATCTCCATTTTCTATCCACTCAACAGTAACACTTTCATTATCTTCATTTAGAGATGTTACCATTGCTTGGTGTATTCGGCCTAAGTGGGAATAAAACACATATTTTAAAAGCAATGAAAGACAGCATTCTTAAACATGGTCAACTACAACTTAATAATTTAGGTACACATACACACACATCCATATATGTATGATCTGACAATTCTTACAAGGAATTTTCACAAAAGAACTTTTGTTCCTTAGTTTCATAAGATCAAGTCCAGAAACTCAGGGTATTTGATAAGAACAAAAGTCTATCTGATAAACAGTCAGTGACACAGGTGACTAAAATTTTATGCCATCAAACAGTCTAATGATTAGGAAGTAAACTTGCTATGATTCCAAACTGACCCTGTGGTATACCAAAAAAAAAAAAAAAGGATTCATAAGATTAACTGTTATACTATACTATACTAACAAAAAGATGATGTATGTGAAAATCACTTTAGACCATATATGGTGCGAAGTAAAGACATCATCTTTGTACAGAGGCCAAGAATGTGAGTCCCCAAAGGCTGAGGAACGGTAATCTAAACGTCCTCTTCCACATGCTGTCTGCCCAAATCTACTATACATACTTTCTCTGACAACTGTCATCTTGCCATCAATGGCAGAATATGATACATAATGCTTTAAACTTGTTTCCCTTCCCTTTTAATGGACTGTGGACCTTACCAGTCAGTAACTGTAGGGCTAATTATTCATTTAAACCACTACATAATACTCTGTTGCAATTTATTGTGGTCTGAGGTTACATTTTATATCAGTATTATAAACAGCCATGAACATCACTATATGTCACTATACATTTGCCACTTATTTCCTTGGGACAAATTCACAGAATCAGACTAAGATTCTCATATATGTATCCACCATATAGTTATTGCTTATTTCATGTCTTCATTCCATTTGATTATTAGTCAAGTATAGAAACTACTGTATACATCTATGTGTTACCTAATAAAATGCTGAACATAAGGAATTTTCACATGTATTCCTTAAATGAAATCTTCTTTTTTTGTTTGTCTGTTTGTTTTTGAGACAGGGCTTCTGTGTAGCCCTGGCTGTTCCTCAACTACCTCTGTAGACCAGGCTGACCTCGAACTCAGAGATCCACCTGCCCTGTCTCCCAAGTGCTAGGATTAAAATCATGCACCACCACCACCTGTAGATGAAACCATTAGAACATCTATAACTTACTTTAAGATAATTTACAACATTTTAAATACCTAAACAAAAACTGCACATTACAAAGATTGTAATGCTAATATTGTATTAGAGATAAAAGTAGCATTCAAGTATTATGTATAAAATTACTGTCAATCACTATATATATAAAATCACACATACATATATACACATATATGCACCACATAAAAATTTGCACAAGTCTTTTAAAAAATTCAAATTTTAGCTGGACACAACAG